TTACCTATACAGATTCACCCTGAAAGGTTGTTTTTAACAGGATATATATCTCACCAAAATAAGTTTGTTTGGCAAAAAAATGTTTACATAAAAAATTTAAGATAACGGAGGTACTCTACAATACAGTTGTATTATTTCATCAGAAAGATCAATGTAGTTTTCACCCTAATAGATTTCGTTTTTCGTTTTCATTATCTTGAATTTTTTACATAAACAATTTTTTGCCTTGTTTTAGCGAGATATATACCTTGTTAAAAAAAAATCTCACTTTCAGATTCACCCTGTATATGTGCAGTTTTTTCGGATGTAATACCACAAGAGGTTTCAGGATTACCGGATAATACTTTTACCTGTCACGAAACGCGTTACGTAGCAACACCACGCCTCCGAAGGAGGAGTGGTGTTGCTGGTATCGCGTTGAGTATCAGGTAAAAGTATTATCTGGTAATCCTGAAACATCGAGTGGTATTCAAAAGGTTATACAACGAACTAAACTTTAACAGCCGTATGCAACATCCTCTTTTAACTGGTCACTTTTAAAAATTTGTATTGCTTGGAAATCTTGGAATACAAATTTTTAAAAGAGACCAGTTTTAAAAAGCGCTTCTAAGTTAAATGTGAATGTTGCATACAGCTGTAATGCTTTATTGATTTTTATTATTATTAATAGCAAATGAACAATATTGCCACCAAGCGCGATAATCCCAAAAGGCTTATCACTTATTAAGCCTCTCGTGTCATATATGGGAATAATCAACAGTGAGTTGTATAACCTATGTAGCCTCTCTGGAGCAACAGGAGCTAGTAACCTTCCCCCCACAAGCTGTACCACCGTGCATTTAATTATTACAAAAAAAACTTATAATACGGGTATTGTGACAATAAAACGTCATCTGTTGCATACGTACATACAAAAAAGTTAGAAATTTTTATCTGAAAAGTTTTAAAAGTTGTGATTAAGATCATGAATATGATTGACAATTGTGCAGTTTGTCGGGTGCAAATGCTTAGAAGTCCAGTGCTAAGAGTACACCCGTGCAACCACATTTTTCATGTTAAATGCACGGAGGCCTTACTTGCTGCACCCAATGCACGTTGTCCAATGTGCAGGACATTGATAACTGGCCATGAAAGAATAGTGAGAAAAAGTTACGTAAAACATACCAATATGGACCGAGGAAGAATTGTTTCTTGTGCCAATCGGGGAGAAGATTGGGTCACTTTGGCAGAAACATTGAAAGTCAATTATAAAACCGCCTACACCTGGGTGACGTCGGGGAGGGAATCAATGAAAAAGAAAGGGGGACCTGGGGACCTAAACCAAAGGCGCTTAATGAAGATGAGATAGACATTGTGATCGAATGGGTGGAAGAAGATCCTGGTTTGACATTAAAGCAGCTGCAAGCCAAAATATTGGCAACCCTTGGTAAGCAAATCTGTAGGTATAGCCAGCATTGGAAACTACCTGGTGGGTAGATTGTTTACCATAAAACAGGTTCATTACCAACCTGTCACGATGAATTTTCAAGAAAATAAACTCAAACGTGCAGATTATGTCAGAGCTTTAAATCAACACATCCAAAATGGAACCAACCAGTACACTTATAACCAGTATTAAACGAACTGCAGTTTTATATTTGTGTTAGGTAGATACTTATAGTGTTAACTGTTTAGTTATGTTTTCTTAACCTTTAACGGCTACGGTGGAAAAAAATCCTTTAACCGCTACAGAGTGGTCTCACAGACACTCTCTTAGAATTCGCGTTAAAATTCGAATTATTCTCGAATTATATCCAAAATTTACTTCAAACAAAACTAAAAACTGTTTTAAACAATGAAACTCAGTTTAGCTTTGGTATTTTATTATTTGTATGAAAAATTATTTCATTTATAATTTCTTTTAATAATAGACTCCATATACTTTCTCAGGGGCGGGACAATTTCCAAGTTGCTCTGCACCAGCTTTTAATCCATTTAAGTCGTCTAGGCTATCTATATCGTTATCGAGTTCTTCAAAACCTGTCTCATCAAAAGATTTTGTGCCATTTTTTGAAATTTTGGGTCACCTGGATGCATTTAAGTAATCGCTATGCTGTGGTCTAGTAGACCCTCGAGTAGACCATTATCTATCTTCAGGATTAAATAAAAAATCACTACTCACTCCACTGACGCTATCGCATTATTGAGGTGTCAGACAGTGATCCACTGAAAGGTACATAAACTCTCACCTCTCAAAATGCAAGTATTTTCAAAATAACCGGAAAATATTTTTGCAAGGAGGCTGACAGACCACTGCGTAGCCGTTAAAGGTTAATAAAAAGATTTACTGTAACTGTATTATTTATATTTAGTAGTATTTTCGACTTTATTTTCAAATTTTGACGTCACCGTTTTTGGCAAATTGTAAAATGCCTGAAAATAATCAGTCACAACATGATTCTTGTTTTGCCGGCATTTTATCAGTTTGCCTGAATTGGTGTCGGCATAACGAAAAATGCATTTTATGCTTGCGTTTTGCCGGCTTTTCGTAAAATGCCTAGGCAGTTAATAAAAAGCCTAAATCTGCATTATGCCTACGACATATACATCCTGGACAGCAAACTTCCAGAATTTGAATGTGTTCTCGCTAACAAATATTGCACAGGAACCTGGCTTGAAGCAGATCTGGCAAATACAAAATGAATACAACTCTAAAGTTTACTCTAGAACCCGTTCTTCGAAAACGACAGTGCGTAAGCACAGAGATATCGAATTGTTTGAAAAATGTAGTATAGGTAGGTACTCAAGAGTATAACTACGCTGCTTTACTTTCGGGTATCGCTTTTGGAGCGCTCCCGAGTATCTCCGAAGTGCGTACTCCATTAACGTTCAGAATTCACGCTCCCCATACGAGCATTATACAACGAACACGAATGCACTGCCCCAGTATGAGAATTTTCCTGCTTTACAAAAACTAAAATTTCACCCAATTGACTTGTTCAATCCGATACGAAGGTTACTCATCAAACTGTTTCCAAATGCACCGACTTCTTTCTCACTGGTTGAACGTCCCATCATCAGTCATCGAGATTTATTTTACCCATTATTTGAGTGGGAGGTCAAACACAATCAGGCGATGATGCGAAATTCAAGAAAAAGTTCCGATATACTTTGATATAATATATCGATTTATTTCGAGATATCCTTTGGCAAATTATCCCAACCATATATCGATAACAAAATATCGGCATATGTCGACTATTTATCGATATGAAATATTGATCGATATATCGTTGCCATCCCTATATTACTGTATTCCTTTTATACATCGAGTTACACCGAACGTGTCGCTCTAGCTAGAGCTTCTCGGAGTCACTCCAAAACACATAATTTATCATTATTCTTTAATATTAGGTCTGTTTCTGCAGAAATCATTAACCAGTCAGAGCGAATTTCATTGGTTGAAAACAGTCAGAAAACTAGTTTCAACCAATAAATCTGTTTCTGCAGAAATCACAAACCAGTCAGAGTGAATTTCATTGGTTGAAACTAGTTTTCTGACTGTTTTCAACCAATGATATTCGCTCTGACTGGTTTGTGATTTCTGCAGAAACAGACCTAATGAAATTCACTCTGACTGGTTTGTGATTTCTGCAGAAACAGACCTATTAACATAACCTAAAAGGGCTTCTTGCACCCCCCGCAAATTTGGTGCATCAGCGGTAAGGGGGTCAGGACCGAACTAAGATCAGGCGTTTTCTGTTCGTTTTCTCGCGTCCACTTTTTTAAACTGGTTCAAAACTGTTTTGAAACAGTACGTTCTCGCGATAAACCCATGACGTCACATCAAAATTGGTTCAAACCGTTTCGAAATACAATTCAATCCACGTTTTTAAACCATTTTCTCGCGCCGAGAAATTATGACTTCATGGTGAAATTACTTAAAAACCAGTTTTGAAAAATAATTTGAAACATTTGGAGTGCGTTCGAAATCACCCTGGGCGTCACACCGAGTGCACACCAGCCATGAATAATTAATAGCTGGTGTGCACTCGGTCTGACGCCCAGGGTGATTTCGAACGCACCCTTGAGATGCGAGGAAACGCCTCGTAGGGTAGGAAGGACTGAACTAAGAATGCCATTATTTGACTCTACAGTGGCTAAATAAACCTTTACATACAGTGGCGACAATAGAGGTTTCGCCGCCATCTTGTTCCCAACCTCTTGTTACTTTTAAATATTAATATATAGGATTTAAATGGACATCTATCATAAAAAATTGAAATCGACGTATTTGATGACCATTATTAGGTCCATCAAATACGTTGTTTTCCATGATTTATGATGAATGTTCACCTAAATCCCATATATTCATATTTAAAAGTAACAAGGGGTTGGGAACAAGATGGCCGTGTTTCCAATATAAATATATGGGATTTTAGAACCAATCAAAAATGAGACAGCAATTGTCGCCACTGTGGGTTATAGAGTCACTGTATTTGACTCGAGTGCCCCTAACACATTTTTAAAAGGAAGGTTCAAACTTCTGACATTGAGCAGCTCTGATTAACTCAACGGGTAAAAGGAATGCAGCATTTATGGTTGTGCTGAGTTTTGAGGTGTTTTCTGCGTCTCAAAGTTTTGAAACATTTTTCAAAACTGAAACATTTTTCAAAACTGGTTTGAAACAGTTTCACAATGGCGTCATAACTTCTCGGCGCGAGAACGGTTTGAATCAATTTTGTGTGACGTCGTGGGTTCATCGCGAGAATATAATAGGTCTGTTTCTGCAGAAATCACAAACCAGTCACAGCAAATTTCATTGGTTGAAAACAGTCAGAAAACTAGTTTCAACCAATGAAATTTGCTCTGACTGGTTTGTGATTTCTGCAGAAACAGACCTACTATCACAAAAACCCTGTTCTGAACCAGTTTTTGACATGACAATCATGACATTGACATGAGTCTTGCTCGAATTTGAATCGTTGAAGATGCAACGGTGGGGAAGGGGGAGAATACGGCGGTGGTGTGGATGAAATCATGGATTCCCACTTTGTTATTAAAAGTGTCTCAAAAAATAAAGTTTTATATGACCCCAAATATAATAGAACAACTGAAAGAAAGCAGGCGTGGATTGAGGTTGGGGTTGAATTAAATCAGGATGGTAAGTATTAACTGATTTTTTTTCCTCTTCGCGGTGTTGCCATGACATAGAATATGTAGTTGCGGTCGTACGAATACTTTCTATGGTAGAATTTTTTATTTGAACAAGAAATTACGCGTTTGGCAAAAAAAAATACATTGGTAAAAAATATTAGTATTTTAACATAGAATAGGTCACTTTCACATTTTTCAAAAACATATACAGGGTGTCCCAGAATATGTGGGCAATCTCTCGGATTCAGATAGAACACAAAAAAATAACATGACAACTTCCTATAAAAAAAAATTCCTACGGCCCCCCCTACGAAGTTACGTGCCCCTAAAGGACGCCTCTGAAAATCGGTTTTTTGTTGATAACTTTCAAAATACTTTGTGTATTTTTTTCTTCTTTTAATATGATGGATACTAGATCAGACCCCTTAAAATGGACCCTTTCAAACACACTTGGCCAATCTAGTTTGCCAGGGACGGACTAGCTTTAACACAATAATGCTAATTTTTTTACACCCTGTATGATATAGGCATAGCGATAATATTTTTAGATAGTTTCAACCGTGAACTAGAAAAAAGATACTCTTATTCGATGTCAAAAAAATGAGCTGGTTTCGAGAAAAATCTGTTTTTGTGTATTAATGGTTTTTTATTAAATAATTTTTTATGTCGACTCAACATGAGATCCTTCTAATCTTATGCATTCCATACCTATTTTGATGAAAAAGTGTTCGACTCTCGACAATGCTTCAATATTAGCCCTTATTTCGCAACAGTGAAAATTAATCCTTTCTACTAATATTTCCTCAGTGTCATTATTGCGTTAAAGCTAGTCCGTCCCTGGCAAACTAGATTGGTCAAGTGTGTTTGAGAGGGTAATTTTAAAGGGTCTTATCTAGTATCCATCATATTAAAAGAAAAAAAATTACACGAAGTATCTTGAAAGTTATCAACAAAAAAACGATTTTCAGAGGCGTCCTTTAGGGGCACGTAACTTTGTAGGGGGGGCCGTAGGAATTTTTTTTTATAGGAATTTGTCAAGTTATTTTTTTGTGTTCTATCTGAATCCGAGAGATTGCCCACATATTCTGGGACACCCTGTATATTATCATTGTGTTGGTATATATTTTTTCTTCCAAACAAAAAACGCGAATTTTCGCAAATTGAATGATCTGAAAATCGAATTTTTGAACTGCTGCGAAAACGCGGGCAAAGATACTATTAGGCAGTGGCGTAGCCAGAAATAGAAATATATATATTTCAGGGAGGGCCCATCTATACTATTTTTAAATCCAAGCGACAGTAACGTGAACAACTGGTCATTTTCAGACCAGGTAGACAGGACCGAACTAAGAAAATGCAATTATTTCGTTTTATTTTGATAGTGGCTAATGGTTATAACGTTATAAGCAATAAACGTCATGAAATGCCACGAGTGCCCACGAGCAGATTTTTTTCCCTAGAAGCCTCAACGAATCCAATCCTGTCCTCCGCACATGCGCACTGGTCCTTGTAGGTGTATTAATCAATAAGGCTAGCCGTCCATTGGATGCGTAGTCGTACGACTTTGTGGTCGTGCGTAGTCGTCCGTATACGTCCGACTAATCCCCTTGCATAAAATTGAATAGAACGCTCATCCACTCCTAGTCGGGGCGGTTAATCAAAAAAATGGGTAGAATATTGCAAATTGTGATAAAAGCATGACATTTCGTACAGATGATTTTTTCACAATTATAAGCGATTTGACCCGCATGACCCCCTTGTCGGACCCATAGGACTCATAGGAGCAAGATGGCGACCATTTGCAAAATGGCGGCTATCAAGAGGTTAAAATTGGTATTGTGAATCGATTTCAACAAAATTGGTGTCGTTTTCGAATAATTTTTGATCGGAAAATGTAAGAAAATATATAATTCAGTGATTGAAATTTGAATAATACAGGGTGTCCCAGCCGAGAGTGACCCATTTCAAATGCTCATAACTTTTGAACCAAGTATGCTAGTCACCTGCGGTTTGCGCCATTCGACTTCTCTTGGCCTAACGTTTTTTTTTTTGGTTAGTAACTAATTTTTTTGATACTTATACCGGGCCAGTAAAGGAGCAAGATAGCGTCCATTCGCAAAATGGCGGACCAAGAAATTATTATTTTTAATTGTGGATCGTTTTTATCAAAATTAGGGTCGTTTTCGAATAATTTTGGGTCAAAAAATACAACAGAACATGTTTGTTGTATTACAATATAATCTTAACTCAGAAAAGATTATTCTTTTAATTTTTTTTGAGGAATTAACTATAGTTATATTCAAACTATGTAAAAAAAACAAAATGTAGGTATCAAAAACTGTTTTTAGGTCATGAAAGTACCACTTTTCCGCACTAGTGCTTTTCGGCTTTTTTTCCGCACTGAGTGCGGAAAAGTAATTACTTTTCCGGAAAAGTAGAATACCTGAATTTTTTAGGTACTTACAGGTATACAGGTATACTACAGGTACGAAAAAGTGAAAACAATATCCTAAATTGATATTTATATAGGTAAAAATATTAACTTTCATCTCGTAGAAAAAATAGTGTTCCTGACTCGTGCGGAAAGTCTCTTTTCCGCACTAGTTAGGAAATATACTATTTCCTATAACCGTGCGGAAAAACCTCTTTTTCCACTAGTGTGGAATTTTTTTTTTCGCACGTCGTCGCGTCGTGTTGACCTACGATATGCATCAGCAATTGTACATTCACCATTAAAATAGTTAAAAATAATAAAAAAAATGTTGTTAATTGCCTAATATAGATTTATATATTTTTTTATTTTTGTATTTTTTATTGTCTGCTCGTGGTAAAAATTGTGTTCCTAACATTTGCGGAAAAATGATACTTTCCGCACTTGTTAGGAAAATAACTATTTCATTAGAAAAATAGTATATTACAATCCGAGACGGGAAATGCTTCATTGCTGATCGAGAGGTTATAAAGTTTATCGAGACGCGTAGCGTCGAGATAAACTGAACCTCGAGACAGCAATGAAGATTCCCGTCGAGGTTTGTATACTATTTTATTTTTAACCATAATTTCTTGAAAAAAAAAAAATAAATTCGTGACAACCAAATAAATGAGGTCGGGAAATGAGGACGGGAAATATTTCCCTGCTCCATTTTCCGTCCGTGGGCGGGAAATGAAGAAGGAAAAAATTTCCAGTCCTCATTTCCCGTCCTGGGACAGGTAATGAACCAGGAAAATGAAAAGACAGAAATGTGACATTTTCAAATTTTTGAAAAGTCAGTAATGACAACATTTCATATATGGTTAAAAATAGAATATTTCTTTAATTAATATACAGTGTCCGCGGAAAAGTCTGCACCATACACTCAACCAAATAGTAGCATAAATAAAAAGAAGTTGTTCTTTGATTTAATGAACAATTCATTAAAATCGGTCCAAAGAACTGCTTCTTTGAACACATGAACTCTACGTTATTAAAGGAAGAACAATTTCTTAATTCCTAGTTCGATTCATCTTGTGTATGAACCACGAACATTGAAGTATGTGGCAAGATTTTTGTATTAATGAAACTTTCCATAGTAACAATGAACATCGTTCTTAGTTTATATGTACTTTTTCATTGGCCTGATGAACAGACGGCATAATATTTATGAAGCCCAGATATAATTCGATGAAACCCTTTCATTGTATTTATGAATCAAAGTCTTGAATACTAAGAATTTCATTCATTGTATTTATTAATGCCGTTTTCAATAATATGTACCCTATTCTTTATTTTTATTGAATTATGCCTTAAATATACTTATGATTTTAAATGGGGCACAGGGTCATTTTTTATATTTGCGTGACCCCTGTACTGGTGAATATGAGCAATAGGAAAAAAGCTTCTAATGCAGAAGTTGTATGATTTCTTCGTATCATCTTCCAGAATTATCAAACAAACCAATATGAGCATCCCAAAATCTGAAAATTCAAAAATCTAAGTACTTATGTATTTTTATTTCAAATGACACTTACTGTATATTGTACTATCTTTGAATTCCTCCTTAAATCCTGTTTTTATAAATATATAATACTATGTCTATGTTTGTTCCAGCTGTTTTTGAACTATCAACATCCAAAGTTTCTTAAACAAGCCACGTCAGGAAATTAGATTTGATGTCTTGGCTGGTTTCCTTGCCTCAGCTATGAAACACTAGCTACGGCATTGAATCTTGTGCTTTTCTACCTAGTGAAACAAAACCATTTAACAAAAATATATCGATGAAAAATATTACAACTTGATTTGAAATTGGGTATACTTACTTTTAGAGACTTCAGTATTCCTTAGAAATTCTGAGGAGCTCTTAACGCTCTTGTCTTTCACGTTCTCCCCGGATGACATTAAAATCTGTAGGTCATTTCTTTCGCATTCCCATTTTGAGCATCAAAGTCCTACCTACATAATAGGTATACATATTATGGAGGTAATAAAGGTATACAACTTACCTATTAGAAAAAAACGGCGACAGGTATAACCGACTTTCTATCTAACACCTCGAACAACACAAGACCGAAAAAACTGAGTAGAACGAAGTACGTAGCAATGCATCCAGAAAATAGAAATGTAATCATTCTTATTATTTTAACTTATTTTTCTATGTCGTTGCCCGACTGTAGCTACCTTTGCGCATGTGCTTAGGAACTGTGTACATTAATGCCATGAACTATTCATTGTATTTATGATTTATCTTGATCTAATGGTTACAGCTTTATTTCTAGGAATATTTGCTTGTTTTAAATGAACCGTACATTGTATCAATGAATTTCTTTCTTAAGAGGATGAGTTTCTAGTAAGGCTATATGAACCATATTCATATTATTCATATTAATATTCATTTATATTATGAACATTCCGTGGAAGCTCCATCAAAAAAATTTTCTTTAATATCAGGGTTAAATTTCATAATATCAATGAACTTAGTTCATGTAACCGATGCACTATTCAACATAGATTCATGTATCTGACTATTCATA